AACATTTTTGAAAAATAGTATTGGTGACCACACACTTTTTCTTCCATACGTACAATAACTGTTTTTAATTATGCATAGATCGATACAACCATTGAAATACTGTATAAAATATATGTAACAAGACATAAAATATAAAGTTTAAAACATTTTTAAAAAACAGAACTGTGATGATGGTCTTAGTATAAGCCACTCTTAAGACCCCAACCGCAGCCCCTAACAAAGAACAAGACCTAAGAACTACACATGTTTTTGCATTTGTTTTTTTACAATGAAGATGAACAATTTTGCCAATTTCTACCATAAAAATGGATTGTTATATGTTTTAAGTCATTTAAATAACAGGAAAATAATACAAGAATATTTTAAATATGTTCTGTTGAAAAAATACGCGAATCGAAGAAGTTCTCAGCGAATAATTTATACAAATGTTCTTCAGAAAAACACACGAATATTCGGAGTTGCCGCGAATAACAAGTACAGATGTTCTAAAGAAAAATCCGCGAATGTGTGAAGCCGCAAATGGTGAAACGCGAATGGGGGATGGGGCTCAGTGTACCGGGGTAAAAAGGAGAATGAGAAAAAAAAAAAAAAAAAAAAAAAAAAGAAGAAAATGATATTAATAATAAAAAATATATATAAAAATTTTGAATAGTTTTAATTTATTTTTTTTTTAAATTAAAGGAAGAAAGAAAAAGAAAGAGAGAGAGAGAGTGAGAGAGAGAGACAGGAATGAAGGAAGAAATAAATGATGAGCCAATATCAAAAATAAATAAGTAAAATGATCAAGAAAGAATTTCCTTAAAATGGCTGAGCAAGTTAATACTCAGTTTAAAGAAAGGAAAAGGGGAATTGGAAATAATATCTATCTATCTATCTATCTATCAATCTATCTATCAATCTATCTATCTATCTATCTATCAATCTATCTATCTATCTATCTATCAATCTATCTATCTATCTATCTCTCTTCATTCTATCTATCTATCTATCTATCTAATTATATACTGTTCTTTCTTTCTCCTATGATATTTAAATATGTTCATATCTATCTATCTCAGTCTCTTCATATCTATCTATCTATCTATCTATCTATCTATCTATCTATCTCAGTTTCTTCATATCTATCTATCTATCTATCTATCTATCTATCTATCTATCATCAATTCATCTATGAAATTTTCCATGATATAATCCATTAGATCAACGTCATTTAAAATATATAATCCATTAGACAACGTCAGCTAAAATAAGTTTATTTTTTTTTCTATATATTATATATATATATATGTGTGTGTGTGTTTTGAACAATAAAAATATTAAAAATTAAAATCTTCAGACACATTGGCATCTATATTAATATTCCTTCGTTTTTCATAATTATTTCATTTATATATATATATATATATATATATATATATATATATATATATATATATATATGCCCATTTAAAATCAGAATTTTCAGTGCCAATTTTTCAGTAAAACATTCTCACTGTCTCAGGGTGTATTTGTTTCTAATGGATAATTATCTGGAATCTTGAAAGTTTGAGAAATTAAATTATGTATTATATATTTTAAATAATAGAAGATTTTGCATTTAACCACTTTCTTTTGATGTTTTCAAATTGTGTGTTGCTTTAGGAAAAGAGTATTTCTTTTAGGAAAGGAGTTGAAAAATCCGAGGCGCAGATTTACATTTTCGCAAGATCCGTTCGAGGCACATTCAAGAAATTTTCGTCTAATAAATTTATTTTCTCTTATAAAACATGCAGCATTCTTTAGATAGAAACTTATTTCTATGCATAATTTTTGAACAATTGTTGTGTATAAAATTCCTTTTGTGTTCCTAGACACGTTTTGTAATTTCTTCAATGTTCCCCAATCAAACTAAAAACTAAACTAAACTAAAATAATAATTAGATTATAAAAAGGAAATATCTGTCTATATTTCCGAGGAGAGGTATTATGTACACTATTTACATTATTCGGACTATTGTCCTCATCTTTGTCGCCATATTTATCACAACATTTCGGCCCTTCAGTATCTGTCTATATTTCTGAGATGAGGTATTATGTACACTACTTACATTATTCGGACTATTGTCCTCATCTTTGTCACCATATTTATCACAACGTTTCGGCCTTTCAGTATCTGTCTATATAACGTTTTGTCATTTCTATCTGCCTATATTTCTGAGATGAGGTATTATGTACATTATTTATATTATTCGGACTATTGTCCTCATCTTTGTCGCCATATTTATTACAACGTTTCGGCATTTTAGTATCTGTCAAATATTTCTGAGATGAGGTATTATCAAACATTGCCTGACTTAGTATCCTCCCTAATTTATTTAAACCCTTTCAATCCTGGGTATGACGATGAAGTATATCCGGCAGCAATGCCTCTGATAGACAGATTGGCGCAATAAACTTCTTAATTGTTCTTGTTCCCATGTCCATTCTGGCGCGGGGTGGCAGCACCTGTTAGGGACCCTGCTATTGGCAAACAGTTAAACCTCAAAACAAAAACAAAAATGCATGATAGAATAAAATATATTTTTATTGTAAATATATATACATATATATATATACATTTTATAATATAATTACCAACATTATATTTTATCTGTAGATGAAGGCATACAATTGCTTTGAAAATATATTTAGTTGAAGCATAAAATTTTGTTTAAAATATTTCGATTTCGACCGCTGAACAAAATCAAACGACCAACATAAAAGAACTTATTCATGAGGTTAATTTATATAATATCCTACAGTTCTTAAAGAAACTGTATTCCAAAATATAACTTCAATAAAACAACAGCATAAAATACACGTATCACTGTGCTATTTACATTATTCAGTCTATTGTCCTCATCTTTGTCGCCATATTTATCACAACATTTCGGCCGTTGTACGCTCCGGCCTTCTTCAGGTGGTTGGAATGTCGAACTTAACCCTTTATGTCGCCAACTACGGTGAGACTGTTCTAGTTCCACGTGCCATGTCTCTTGGATGTCAGTTATCAGTTATCTCCTGTTAATTCCCCCTTCTCAAAGTTCTCCACCGCCTTAACCAGGTATTGAACCCACACTCTTTGGGTCATATCACTGGATCTAACTAACACTTTTATCCACTCTACCATGTGTCCTTGAGGACATCTGTCTGTGAATTTCTGGGTATCATCTCATAAATATAGACAGATAATATATTCTGCTTATTCGTTATTTTAATAGATACAACTTATTTAAGTAAATGCCCTGTTTTTTTTAAATAAACGGTATTAATTACATTTACCTGCCTGAATGTTCGAGAAATTTCGTAGAAAGTATGCGTTCTGCAATGTCGAACTGAATCCTTTATTTCGTTCGATGGGGTAGACTGTTCTAGTTCCACGTGCCATGTTAAAGAAGTACACGTGGCACAGTGGATAAAGGCGTTGTTTAGATCCAGTGACAGGACCCAAAGAGTTCAATACCCGGTTAAGGCGGTGGAGAACTTGTAGAGGTGAATTAACAGCAGATAACTGATAACTGACATCCATTAGACATGGCACGTGGAACTAGAACAGTGTACCCTAGAGAGCGAAATAAAGGGTTCAGTTTGAGATTCCTTAGGTCTTATAGGGGATCATCCTTCTTCCAATCACGTAGACTGGCGCTACTCAATCACAAAGAATTGTACCAACTAATAGAAACCACATCACTTGAGGACTACCAACAGCCGTAACAATTAAAATGAATAACAAATGTAACTCAAAGAGAATATAATATGACATTCTACATCAAATGAAAGGTTAGGATGGATTCATCCATTATAGAAATGAAGAGAGCAATAACAGTTAAGAACCTGATTTTTTTTAAAAAAACTGTTGTAAAACAAAATTTGATTCTGTTCCCTCAATGAATTCTGAATGTTTCCTTGTAAGGAAACAGCTAATATTATCATTCCATTACAATTGAAGAGAACAGATACTTCGCTTTGATCCCAGCTCGTTTACTAGAGAGTAAATAAAAGCCTACTGTAGTAGAAATAACTACTCGATTAATGAATGCCGAAAGAAAGGGAAATGGTTAATATTACCATTAGCATTAGAGATAAGGAGAACATAGCCTAATGAGTGACGAAGAGCGTATGTCGAGTAGCACTGTCTGATCGTCACAATGAATGCCGAATGTTTCCTTATAAGGAAACGACTAATATTACTATTACTATTAGAGATGATTTGGTTTGGTTCGAGTAGCACTGTCTGATCGTCACAATGAATGCCGAATGTTTCCTTATAAGGAAACGACTAATATTACTATTACTATTAGAGATGATTTGGTTTGGTTTGGGTTTTTACTTACGGCATGTCAACCTCAATAGGTTATTTAATGGCAACAACATTTTTACTGCTGGTAATTTTTTTTTTCAATAATGTATTGCTTATAATAATGTATCGCTGGTAATATTTTTTTTTTTAAAAAAAAAAAGTATTGCTGGTATTAAAAACCTATTTTTAAACTTTCATAGTGTTTTGACCCCACTTTGGAGAATAACTATTTGCCCATAGCTGGGACCCCAACAGGTGCTACCAACCTGGGTCATGGTGGACATGGGAACACCAGCAAGAGGTGGTTCCATGATCCTCAAAAACTTCCTGCTCAGAAACCTTGCTGTAGTTTATTGTCATACCCAAAACGCCTCGTTAGGCGTATTTGACAGAGCGGACCGTTAGAGATTAGAAGAATAGATACTACACTTTGATCATCGGCTCATGGTCAGAGAGTAAAGAATAGCGTGGCACTGGTAGATCGTCACAGTAAATGCTGAATGTTTCCTTATAAGGAAACGGTTAATATTACCTTTGCTATTCTATTACCTTTGTTCCAATTCGAACCAACTGACTGTTCTTTATTTTTCTGTTTACGAAAGAAGCTACAGCTTAATTTCGTGATTTCTTGCCGAGATTCTAAAAGCAACAAATACATTAAATGTTTGGTAATTCTTTCACGATGGCATTCCCAACTGTGAACCGTACCCACCCATACACCCGTGTTCTTTTCCAACTGGCCTCCACCTCTTTTATCCCGTTAGTCACTTTATTTGGTACTTCTTTTTTTTTCCTTTTTTTTTATTTTATTTTTTTTTATTTTTTTGTTATTGTCTGTTGTCAGACACCAGTTCTTGGTCGACTTCCAGGAATTCCAGCCAAACTAACGGTTGGCAATTTTTACCGTTCAGACGAACATACGACCCAGTATTTTTTTTTTTTTTTTTCATTACAGGTAAGCACTTGCTGGTATGGATTGGTGGTTGCAACGTGGGTCTTTCGTCTGGCCGGGCCTCGAATTTAGCCCAAAACACAAATCAGTAATGCATATTAAAAGTGAACATGTGAATTAATGCATTTCTATTTCACTCGATAGCTTTCACCTTCTTTTTCCCTTTCTCTTCTCTATCTCTTCGCCTTCCCTTTCTTCTTTTCCCTTTCTCTTCTCTATCCTTTCCCTTTCCTTTCTTCTTTTTCCCTTTCTCTTTTCTCTCCCTCCACTACATTTTCTTCTTTTTCCCTTTGTCTTCTCTGTCCCTTCCACTTCCCTTTCTTCTTTTTATATTTCTCTTCTCTGTCACTCCCCCTTCTCTTTCTTCTTTTTCATTTTCTCTTCTCTGTCCTTCCCATTCTCTTTCTTCTTTTTCCTTTTCTCTTCTCTGTCTCTGTTCTATTTCTTCTTTCCTTTTCTTCTCTTCCTTTTTTCTTTTTCTTCTCTTCTCTGTCCCTTCTATTTCTTCTTTTTCCTTTTTCACTTCTTTGTCCCCTTTCCCTTTCCTTTTCTTCTTTTTCCTTTTTTTCTTCTTTTCCCTTCCTCTTCTCTTCCTTTCCCCTTCCTTTCTTTTTTCTTTTCTGTCCTGTCCCTTCCCTTTCTTCTTTTTTCTCTTCTCTTTCTCTTCTCTTCCCTTCTTTTCCTTTTTCTTCTCTTTTTCCCCTTTCTTCTTTCTTTCTCTTCCCTTTCCTTCCCTTCCCTTTCTTCTTTTTCCATTTCTCTTCTCTGTCACTCCCCCTTCTCTTTCTTCTTTTTCATTTTCTCTTCTCTGTCCTTCCCACTCTCTTTCTTCTTTTTCCTTTTCTCTTCTCAGTCTCTTCCCCTTCTATTTCTTCTTTTTCCTTTTCACTTCTCTGTCCTCCACCTTCTCTTATTTCTTTTCCCTTTCTCTTCTCAATCCTTCCTACCTTTCCCTTTTTCTTTTCCTTTCTTCTTCTTTTTCCTTTCTCTTCTCTGTCTTTCCCCTTCTCTTTCTTCTTTTTTCCTTTCCTCTGTCCTTTCCCTTCCTTTCTTCTTTTCCCATTTCTTTTTTTCCCCTTTTTCTCTTCTTCTTTCTCTTCCCCCCCCCTTTCTTTCTTTTTTCCTTTCTCTTCTCTGTCCCTTCCTCTTCCCTTTCTTCTTTTTCCCTTTTTCTCTTCTCTGTCCTTTCCCCTTCCCTTTCTTCACTTTCGTTTTTTTTCCTTTCTTTTTCTTCTGTTTCTTTTGTCCTTTTCTTCTCTTTCTTTTTTCTTTTTCCTTTTCTTCTCTGTCTCTTCCCCCCTTCTTCTTTTCTTTTCACTTTCTTTTTTCCTTTTTTTTTTCTTCAATTCCTGTCCCCTTCTCTTTCTTTTTTTTCTTTTCTCATTTTTCCCCATTCTCTTTCTTCTGTCCCTTCCTTCTCTTTTCATCTTTCTTCTTCTTTTTTAATTTTTTTCTGTCCCTCCCCCCATCTCTTTTTTTTTTCCTTTTCTCTTCTCTGTCCCTTCCCTTCCCCTTTCTTCTTTTCCCCTTCCTTCTCTTTTTCCTTTTTTTTTTTCTCTTCTCTGTCTTTCTTCTCTTTCTTCTTTTTCTCTTTTCTTCTCCGTCCCTTCCCTTCTGTTTCTTCTTTTTTCTTTTCTCTTCTTCTTCCCTACCCCTTCTCTTTCTTTTTTCCTTTTCTCTTCTCTGTCCTCCACTTCTTTTTTCTTTTTCCTTTTCTTCTCCTTCCCCTTTCCTTCTTTTTTTCCTTCTCTTCTCTTCTTTCCCCAGCCTCTTTCTTTTCTTCTTTTTTCCTTTTCTCTTCTCTGTCTTTTCCCCTTCTTTTTTTTTTTTCCTTTTCTCTTCTCTCTTTTTCCTTCTCTTTCTTCTTTTTTCCTTTTCTTTCTCCTTTTCCCTTCTCTTTCTTCTTTTCCTTTTCTCTTCTCTGTTTTTTCCCTTCTCTTTCTTCTTTTTTTTTTTTTCTCTCTTTTTTCTCCTTCTCTTTCTTTTTTCCTTTTCTCTTCTCTGTCTTTTCCCCTTCTCTTTCTTCTATTTCCCTTTTCTCTTCTCTGTCCCTCCCTCTTCTCTTTCTTCTTTTTCCTTTTCTCTTCTCTGTCCCTCCCTCTTCTCTTTCTTCTTTTTCCTTTTCTCTTCTCTGTCTTTTCCCCTTCTCTTTCTTCTTCTTCCCTTTCTCTTCTCTGTCCCTTCCCCTTCTGTTTCTTCTTTTTCTCTTTCTCTTCTCTGTCACTCCCCCTTCTCTTATTTCTTTTTCCCTTTCTCTTCTCTGTCCCTTCCCCTTCTTTTTCCCTTGCTCTTCTCTTTCTTCTTTTTCCTTTTCTCTTCATTGTCTTTTCCCCTTCTCTTTCTTTTTTTCCTTTTCTCTCTCTGTCTTTTCCCTTCTCTTTCTTCTTTTTCCTTTTCTCCTCTCTGTCTTTCCTTTTCCTCTTCTTTTTCTTTTCTCCTCTATTTCCCCTTCTCTTTCTTCTTTTCCTCTCTTCTCTGTTTTCCCCTTCTCTTTCTTCTTTTCCTTTTTCTCTTCTCTGTTTTGCCTCTTCTCTTTTCTTCTTTTCCTTTTCTCTTCTTTGTCTTTTCCCCTTCTCTTTCTTCTTTTCCTTTTCTCTTCTCTGTCTTTTCCCCTTCTCTTTTTCTTTTCCTTTTCTCTTCTCTGTCTTTTCCCCTTCTCTTTCTTTTTTTTCCTTTTCTCTTCTCTGTCTTTTCCTTCTCTTTCTTCTTTTTCCTTTTCTCTTCTCTGTTTTTTCCCCTTCTCTTTTTCTTTTTTCCTTTTTCTCTTCTCTGTCTTTTCCCCTTCTCTTTCTTCTTTTTTTCCTCTTCTCTGTTTTTTCCCCTTCTCTTTCTTCTTTCTTTTTTTCTCTTCTGTCTTTTCCCCTTCTCTTTCTTCTTTTCCTTTTTTCTTCTCTCTTTTTTCCCTTCTCTTTTTTCTTTTTTTTTTTCTTCTCTTCCCTCCCTCTTCTCTTTCTTTTTTCCTTTTCTCTTCTCTTCTTTCCCCTTCTCTTTCTTCTTTTTCCTTTTATCTTCTCTGTCCCTTCCCTTCTTTTTCTTCTTTTCCTTTTCTCTTCTCTGTCCTTCCCTCTTCTCTTTCTTCTTTTCCTTTTCTCTTCTCTGTCTTTTCCTCTTCTCTTTCTTCTTTTCCTTTTCTCTTCTCTGTCCTTCCCCTTCTCTTTCTTCTTTTCCTTTTCTCTTTTCTCTGTCTTTTCCCTTCTCTTTCTTCTTTTTCCTTTTCTCTTCTGTCTTTTCCCCTTCTCTTTCTTCTTTTTCCTTTTCTCTTCTCTGTCCCTTCCCTTCTCTTTCTTTTTCCTTTTCTCTTCTCTGTCTTTTCCCCTTCTCTTTCTTCTTTTCCTTTTATCTTCTCTGTCCCTTCCCCTACTCTTTCCTCTTTTTCCTTTTCTCTTCTCTGTCCCTCCCTCTTCTCTTTCTTCTTTTTCCTTTTCTCTTCTCTGTCTTTTCCCCTTCTCTTTCTTCTTTTCCTTTTCTCTTCTCTGTCCTTCCCTTCTTTTTTCTTCTTTTCTCTTTCTCTTCTCTGTCCTCCCCTTCTCTTTTTTCTTTCTTTTCTCTTCTCTTCCCTTCCTTCTTTTCCCTTGCTCTTCTCTTCTTTTCCTTTTCTCTTCTTCTTGTCCTTTTCTCTTCTTTGTCTTTTCCTTCTCTTTTTCTTCTTTTTCCTTTTCTCCTCTCTGTCTTTTCCCCTTCTCTTTCTTCTTTTTCTTTCTCCTCTCTGTTTTCCCCTTCTCTTTCTTCTTTTTCCTTTTCTCCTCTCTGTCTTTTCCCCTTCTCTTTCTTCTTTTTCCTTTTCTCTTCTCTGTCTTTTCCCCTTCTCTTTCTTCTTTTTCCTTTTCTCTTCTCTGTCTTTTCCCCTTCTCTTTCTTCTTTTTCCTTTTATCTTCTCTGTCCCTTCCCCTTCTCTTTCTTCTTTTTCCTTTTCTCTTCTCTGTCTTTTCCCCTTCTCTTTCTTCTTTTTCCTTTTCTCTTCTCTGTCTTTTCCCCTTCTCTTTCTTCTTTTCCTTTTATCTTCTCTGTCCTTCCCCTTCTCTTTCTTCTTTTTTCCTTTTTCTCTTCTCTGTCTCCCCTTCTCTTTCTTCTTTTTCCTTTTTTCTTCTCTGTCTTTCCCCTTCTCTTTCTTCTTTTCCTTTTATCTTCTGTCCCTCCCCCTTCTCTTTCTTTTTTCCTTTTCTCCTCTCTGTCTTTTCCCCTTCTCTTTCTTCTTTTCCTTTTCTCTTCTCTGTCTTTTCCCTTCTCTTTCTTCTTTTCCTTTTCTCTTCTCTGTCCCTTCCCCTTCTCTTTCTTCTTTTTCCTTTTCTCTTCTCTGTCTTTTCCCCTTCTCTTTCTTCTTTTTCCTTTTCTCTTCTCTGTCTTTTCCCCTTCTCTTTCTTCTTTTTCCTTTTCTCCTCTCTGTCTTTTCCCCTTCTCTTTCTTCTTTTTCCTTTTCTCCTCTCTGTCTTTTCCCCTTCTCTTTCTTCTTTTTCCTTTTCTCTTCTCTGTCTTTTCCCCTTCTCTTTCTTCTATTTCCTTTTCTCTTCTCTGTCTTTTCCCTTCTCTTTCTTTTTTTCCTTTTATCTTCTCTGTCCCTTCCCCTTCTCTTTCTTCTTTTTCCTTTTCTCTTCTCTGTCCTTTCCCTTCTCTTTCTTCTTTTTCCTTTTCTCTTCTCTGTCTTTTCCCCTTCTCTTTCTTCTTTTCCTTTTATCTTCTCTGTCCCTTCCCCTACTCTTTCCTCTTTTTCCTTTTCTCCTCTGTCTTTTCCCTTCTCTTTCTTCTTTTTTCCTTTTCTCTTCTCTGTTTTTCCTTTCTCTTTCTTCTTTTTTCCTTTTCTCTTCTCTGTCCCTCCCTTCTCTTTCTTCTTTTTCCTTTTCTCTTCTCTGTCCTTTCCCCTTCTCTTTCTTCTTTTTCCTTTTGTCTTCTCTGTCTCTTCCCCTTCTCTTTCTTCTTTTTCTCTTTCTCTTCTCTGTCACTCACCCTTCTCTTATTTCTTTTTCCCTTTCTCTTCTCTATCCCTTCCCCTACACTTTCCTCTTTTTCCTTTTCTCTTCTCTGTCCCTTCCCCTTCTTTTTCCCTTTCTCTTCTCTGTCTCTTCCCCTTCTCTTTCTTCTTTTTCCGTTTCTCTTCTCTGTCCTTTCCCTTTTTTCTTCTTTTCTTTTTTCTTCTCTCTCTCTTTCCCCTTCTTTTTCTTCTTTTCCTTTTTCTCTTCTCTGTCCCTTCCCTTTCTCTTTCTTCTTTTTCCTTTTCTCTTCTCTGTCACTCCCCCTTCTCTTATTTCTTTTTCCCTTTCTCTTCTCTGTCTTTTCCCCTTCTCTTTCTTCTTTTTCCCTTTCTCTTCTCTGTCCCTTCCCCTTCTCTTTCTACTTTTTCCTTTTCTCTTCTCGGTCACTTCCCATCCTCTTTCTTTTTTTCCCTTTCTCTTCTCTGTCCCTTCCCCTTCTCTTTCTTCTTTTTCCGTTTCTCTTCTCTGTCCCTTCCCCTTCTCTTTCTTCTTTTTCCCTTTCTCTTCTCTGTCCCTTCCTCTTCCCTTTTTTTGTTTTTCCTTTCTCTTCTCTGTTCTTTCCCCTTCTCTTTTTTCTTTTTTCCTGTTCTCTTTTCTTCTTTCTCCTCTCTGTCTCTCTTCCTTTTCCTTTCTCTTTCTTCTTTTATCCTTTCCTCCTTTCTATTCTCTTTCTCTCTTTCTTTTGCTTTCTCTTCATTGATTTCTCATTTCTCTTCTTCGCCTCTCTTCCTCCTCTTTTTCTTCTCCTTTATTTCCTCTCTCTTTCTTTATTTCGCCTTCTTTATCTTCTTTTCTCGTCCTCTTCTTTTTTCCCCTACTTTTTCTCCTTTCCTCCTTTCTCTTCTTCTTCTTCTCTCTTTCTTTCCCCTTCTCTTTCTTTTTTTACCCTCTCTAATCTGTCTCTCTTCCTTTTTCCTTCTCTTTCTTTTTACCTTCTTTCTCTTTTTACTCTCTCTTCCATTCCCCTTCTTTTTCTTCTTTTCTCCTTTCTCTTCTCTTTCTCTGTTCCTTTCCCATTCTCTTTTTTCTTTTCCCCTTTCTCTTCTCCTTCTCACTTCCTTTCGCTTTCTCTTTCTTCTTTTCTTCTTTTCTCCTTTCTCTTCTCTTTCTCTCTTTCTTTTCCTTTCTCTTTATTCGTTTCTCCTTTCCTTCTCTGTCTCTCCTTCTTTGCCCTTATCTATCTTCTTTTCTCCTTGTCTCTTTCTTTCCACTTCTCTTTGGAAAATAGATCTTAGTACATACAGGTCTCATTAAAAGTTAAGAATACAGATATCTTTCCTCGCTCTTTCTCGGACCAATCTTAATTGTTTTATTACCCTTCACGCTGAAGAACTTTCTCACTGACAGTTCAAAAAAGTCATTTGTGACACTACCACACAAAAAAGACAATGTTTAACATTGAAAATATTTAACATCGAAAACATAAGAAAAATTAATTCATTTTAATAATATGTGGAAATATCCCCTTTTTGCTTGAAGAAGGTCGCGAGACGTTAAACCAATGTTGCAAAAATATGGAAAATAAAGCATATGTCTTTTTAAAAATCCATATTATGACCAAAAGCCTTTGCGGCTTCTCTCTACTTTTAATATATATATATATATATATATATATATATATATATATATATATATATATATATATAGCGGAGCCATTCTGTTTGATGCTTAAATGAAATCTTCATGGCCTGAAGATTCATGGTCCCTAATTCGATTTGTACTTGATACCTATTATTTGCCATAGCGTTCACTGGATGCTTCATTATAGTAGCCTTGTGCCAGACTAGGCTATGCTTACTAAATATTTATACTTTCTTCGCATAAAAATGTGTAAACTTCGTTTTAACTTTCTCTTCTTCTCTCTCTCTCTCTCTCTCTCTCTCTATTTCTCGCTGTCTTTTTTACTCTCTTTCTTATGTCTCTATTTTTCTTTCTTTTTTCCTTTCTCTTTCTCTCTCTATTTCTCGTTCTATATTTTCTTTGTATATCTTTCTTTCTCTCTCTTCTCTCTAGAAAGATCGATAACATTCAGTGGGACTTCAGGAGTCTAATTTTCAGAAAGTTAGCAATTGAAAATCACTCTGGTCAATAAATTGTTTCCTGCACAGAAATCGTCCTCAGTCTGACGATAAACTACATCCGGCAGCAAGGTCTCTGATTGAAAGATCGAGGGTTTTCAGGAGCGTGAAACCACCTTTTAACTGCTGTATTTCACAGGTACACCCTGACTTGGGGTGGTAGCATCTGTTAGGGTCCCAGCTATGGGTAAATATCTAATCCACCAAACAAAAATAAACAGTACATTTTTATAACAAAATTACCAACAATACATTCTATGATCTACAAACTATATATCTAGAAACAATATGTGTCTTTGAAAGCATAAAATTACGCAGAAAATATTTCGATTTCGGCATTAAATAATCCATAGAGGTTGATATGGCGCCAAACTAAATCAACCAATCAAAACCAGCTGAAAATTTTGGATGTCACGACGATAGAGAACTCATGTTTCACAACCATGCATCAAAATTAAACTAACAACAGTATTATAGATCATAATGTTTTTGTTAAGTTCTGGTCTTATTTGTTGAAGAAGCGTTTCATTAGCTTTCCAAATACCCCGTATGCAGTTCATAAAAAGCTGCCTAGATATGAAAAATTATCTCCTTGTTCGAGAGATGTATCACAGATGGTAATATTAAAATCTGTTAAGATGCTATTTGGGTCTGGCTGTACAAAGACCTTGAATTTCTTGATGTTTTACTCTAAGGCCCAAACAACGAAAATTTCTATTTATAAAATATTTTTACATTATTCATTATAGAATGTAAACGTTGCACAGACAGTTCTCTGTGCGTGGGTTGGTCAGAATCCAGGATTTGTTGAGATCTTCGTTTTTCCTTTCCGGAAATGCCTCCTGGGAAATGAAATAAAGTTGGCACGATGTTGTGCATTTTTTCAAGGTTCAATTCCAATGGCTTTCAGTGTTCTTTTGAATTAGTCCTTGTATCCTCGAAGAGGGCAACCTCACGCTCTAGAGTGAGCTTACTGAAACCATGACTTTCCCATGATTACTACATGTCCTGACAATCGAAGACGGTGTTTAATGATTAGCGATTCGATGCTTTGACAGTTTCTATTTATAAAATATATTTACATTATTCATTATAGAATTTAAACGTTGAAAAGACAGTTCTCTGTGCGTGGGTTGCTCAGAAACCAGGATTTGTTTTTCTTTCCGGAAATACGTTCTGGGGAATAAAATAAAATTTTGCTAAACTTATTGAAACTGTGTACCTTGCGATTGTCTCTGAAGAAGTTGTTGCCGACAATGTTGAAACGTAGAGATAAGTAGGCAACAAAAAATTATCATGTTCGCGGTCTTTTTTGAATACCTTTAAGGAGTAAACATCAGTGGTGGTGTTGATAGCCCGTTGTTTAACAAAACTTACCCTTCAAGTGCTCTGCCTTTTGTCGCTCCGAACAGTCCTGTCTTGCTGATAGACTCAGACAGCTGCTGAAAGGCAGTAGTGTAAGACTATATTTCATATCAGAAATATAGAGAACCTTGATCTTGAACCACTTTCTTCGATGGTCAGAGGACGCAGTAAGAATGGAAGAGTCAAGGTTTCCACATCAAGTCGTATTCAGTGAGGACACTTCACGGAAAAGAACATAAATTTGCTCTCTTTGAAGAAACAAAACAACAATGATAACACTGGACTTAAGCCTAAATTGTTTGAAACACAAATCCAAGATCATCCCAGTTGGTGGTGTTAGTATCTATATCTATATTTCAGTATCTGTCTATATTTCTGAGATGAGGTATTATGTACACTATTTACATTATTCGGATTATTGTCCTCATCTTTGTCGCCATATTTATTACAACGTTTCGGCCTTTCAGTATCTGTCTATATTTCTGAGATGAGGTATTATGTACACTATTTACATTATTCGGACTATTGTCCTCATCTTTGTCGCCATATTTATTACAAAGTTTCGGCCTTTCAGTATCTGTCTATATTTTTCAGATGAGATGACACTATTATTCGGACTATTGTTCTCATCTTTATTTGCCATATTTTTACAAATTATTCGAGTATCTGTCTATATTTTTGGGATTGTCTACACTATTTACATTATTCAAACTATTGCCCTCATCTTTATTTGCCATATTTTTTAACGTTTCGGGTATCTGTCTATATTTCTGTATTAGGTATTATGTACTTTTACATTATTCAGATTATTGTCCTCATTTTTGTTGCCATATTTATTACAACGTTTTGGCCTTTCAGTATCTGTCTATATTTCTGAGATACACTATTTACGTTATTATTGTCCTCATCTTTGTCACCATATTTACATTCTTCGGACTTTTGTATCTGTCTATATTTTGATCGTTATTATTACTTACATTATTCGGACTATTTATTTTGTTGCCATATTTATTACAAAGTTTTTCATTATCTGTTTAAATGTAGTTTTGTCACTATTTACATTAAAATTTCTTCATCTTTGTCGCCATATTTATTACAACGTTTCGGCCTTTTTCTATCTGTCTATTTTTCAGTATCTATATTTCCGACATGGGGTTATGTACAAAATTATTCGGACTATTGTCCTCATCTTTGTCGCCATATTTATTAAACGTTTCGGCCCTTCAGTATCTGTCTATATTTCTGAGATGAGGTATTAAAAATTATTCGGACCATTTCCTCATCTTTGTCGCCATATTTCGCAAAGTTTCGGCCCTTGTATCTGTCTATATTTCTGAATGAGGATTTGTACACTATTTACATTATTCGGAATTGTCCTCATCTTTGTCGCCATATTTATTACAAACATCTGTCTATATTTTTCAGATGTATTATGCCCTGACATTCTTCGGATATTGTTCTCATCTTTGTCGTCATATTTATATAGACATTTATCCGTTATTGTTTTTAATTTTTAAATGTAGTTTTGTCACATAAAATTTTAGGCGCAAGCAAATTTTCATTACGAAAATACGGCCCAGTGGAAAAAATGCGGTCTAGAGAGGGAGAAAAAAAGGATTCGGCCATTTGTCTCGTTCGCATCACTGTCTGCAAAGAAGGATTTGTCCCTTGAAAATTGCGCTATGCATGCTACAATATTTTTTATGCATGCCCTGAGATCTTTATCCTGCTCTTAAAGCGTTCCAGGTGTACAATGTTGTCATATTTAATTGAATAAACAATATCTCTGCTTTATCCTATCAGGTGTACAATGTTGTAAAATAATAGACAAGTGCTCAATTCTTTGCTTTTGAAAACGTTTCGTGTCAGACTACAATATTTTTTTTTATTAATGTCAGGACGGTATAACTTGCTGAGTTTTTGTTAAAAAACCATTTCACTGAACATTTTTCCCCCAAAATATAATATCTGTTTATTCTTAATATTTCCATTCATATCTATTCTAATAGGTAATGTAATTATTATCTTGCTTCATTGGAAATCTACCAGAAACTATGAAATCCATAGCGACACACACACACGTTTGAATGTGTGTTTTGTCCGGCAGAGGGCCAAATGTATATGGATAAAATGTTGACGGATTTTGGGAAAGAACGCACCCTCTCCCACACATATACTTACATGTCTCTGCGCATGTGAAAGAATTAATTTCCTGAGGACATGCAAATTTTTTTACGTCTGGATATTTGCTGAAGTAGATCTCAGATTCCTTGTCATTTTTTTTCATGCTCAACAAGATAGATAGATAGATAGATAGATAGATAGATAGATAGATAGATAGATAGATAATGAACAGAGAATGAGATAGATAGATAGATAGATAGATAGATATTAACAGAATGCGATAGTTAGAAATAGATAGGTAGATATGAATAGAAATAAATGTGTCTCTCTCATTCCTCCTGACACTCTCTTATCTTATATATAAAGTACGTTGTGTTTGTGTGTGCCTATGTGTGTCCAATCAATTCTTTCGCTCCCACTGGTCCGATTTCAATAATTTATAGCACATTCAAAATCCCTAGAAAAGTTAGACGCAGGGAACGATTTTCGTTGAGTACAGATTCAGGCTTACCAGATTATGCGAGGTTAAAAATATATATTAATATATTATACTAGCCATTATCATTGCTTTCATGGTTCAAAGAGAGTAACTCTTATTTTTCATTTGTATCCAAAATTGAAGTGCTCGTTTTATTATACCCTAGCTTAAAAGCCGTTCAATTGAAGGC